AACTAAGGGAACCACCCCTTAAAACACAAAATGCACAATAACTGGGTGCCTACCTTTACAACTTTTGGTGTGGTAGCAACAAACCATGTTTGCTGCAGCCCGCTGCTAAAAATGAACAGAACCAACAACAACAACTTAGAACCTGAGCCAACAGAGGTGAAGCTACTATCAGGGCTTGCCTGGGAATCATCGGGTGGCCACCAACAACTTCCCAACCTGGCGAACCCAACACGGATCCATTTACCCATATAAACCAAGGGACCCGTTCAAACCTTAAACGGACCATGGCTGGTTGCCTACAATAACTGGGATTCACCTACCATCAACTTTTTCCAACCTTCGCGAATCGAAGACCTGCGGGTCTTCTCCAAACCACGCAAATAAAACGTGTCATACTCTCGGAGCAGCAACCCACACTTTTCATGGCTTTGCGGAGGGAGAATGGAGGGCTTTCGATGGGTTTCCAAAATAAAGAAAACATCTCGGAGCCTGTCGGACTTGAAGTTCACCGAGATGTTCACCGACTTCTGCGGGTCGATCCTGGCACTCTGGCACTCGTCCCGGCTCCCAACCGGCTAAGCGACCATAGGGATCGAGCCACTTTTGACCCAAGCGAGAAAAACGGTCCCTCTATGATATCTGTTTCCCTAGTCAAGGGTAAAAAACACCATGCCCACTCGGCCCGCCAAGGGCGGGCCAAATGCTTGGTGACAGCCTCCAGCAAGATCATATGACAGGCTATGGCAGGGCTCCAGCTGCCCAGTGCGACTGGAACAAAAAAAGGATTTACCATCTTGAGTCTTTAGTGGAAAACCCGCTTCGTCAAAAAGGGATAAAAGGGTACCTCTGAACAACTGGTTGCGGGCAATGCCTGCCAAGCCATCACAAGGCCTTCCCAAAGACCGACTCAGTCGCAGGTTTGTTTCGTGGCATTTGCCATCCATTGGCTCGTGCCCCTTCTCGAAGACTTCTGAACGAGAGATTGGATGTCCTTCTGGAACCTCCTTTGGGGTTCCAGGATCATTCTCGGACGGTATCTGCAAGGCAAGTTGAAATCCTTATGAAGTGACCTCGTGGTTGCCCAGAAGGAATCGATTGGAATTGGCTACCCCTTGGTTTCAGCAGCCCATGCAATTGGAGAGAACCCTTCTCACTGCTTCCGTGATTTGTGAGGACAAGGGGCGAGAGGTAGGTCCCCTGCTTGGGTACTTTGAGCAGTTTCGCTTCGCGAGTTTCATCAGCTGAAAGACTTGAGCCGTGCTTGCCTTCGGATGAATAAACAGTTGGCTGTGGGTCAAAATCCACATCGTACCCCCAGTGAACATCCCAATCCCCACTAAAATCCCGACTAAATGGGTGGTGCACCTACCCCAAGATGGGATCCCATTGGTTTTGACCCACAGCCATTTCTGTGCTGTCGTTTCTGCATGCTTGTCTTCAGGGAAGTAATTATACCCTTCAATTGGTGGGCGTTTGGGGCCCCAACCCGATCCCACGCGCCCCACTCGGAACTCGTTTTGGGGGCCTCTGCGTGCGCATCGGGACCATGAAGGTCGGGTTGTCCACCTGCGCCGTGCTTTCTCTGTCGGCCCTGGTGGATACCCCAAATGTTGCGGAAAAAAAAGAATCGTCGACCCAGGACATGGTTGTGGGAATCAAGCCTTTCTGTGATACTCAAAGTGGGCCATCCTGTGACTGCCTTGTCACTTTAAATGGGATTCCCTAGTCACGGAAATTGGACCCAAATGCGATTTGTGCACAACCATGACGCCTTACTCAGCCTGCTGGCATCCACTAAAGGTGTTTCCCTAAAAAAAGATCCACGTTCCCGCTGAGGGGACCTCATTCTTTAACCAGATGTTGACTAATCCTGGGTTGTCTCAGAGAACAAGCAAATGAACTCGCCGCACTTGACCGCAGAGCTAGCGAGGTTTTGTGGTGGATGTGGTTGGTTCATTTACAACATGTAGGGATTCAACTTTGCGCAACCAACTCAGAGGGAATGAGCTGGCATGCAATGTAGAGTGAATGAATCTGGAGGAGTTATTGAGTGCCCAAACCACGCATCCCAGACGAGGATCGGACTCCCAACTCTTGTGCAAGAGGGCACTATGTATGAGCCGCCATATTCTTTCTCACTAGTTTGACCACAACCAGAAGGCAAACTACAAAGAGCGATGTCACAACCCCCCACAACCCCCAACCCCAATCCCCCAATCCCCCCAACTTCCCAAACACCCAAAGCCCCACCCCCATCTGCACTGGGGACATGTTCTGTTTGAATATTGGCCCAAGCAAGTTGTACCCTGTGTTCCTCTCCAAACGGGCCGGTCATAGCCTGCCAACGGGGTACCAACTTGTCACCAACAGCATCTGCCTGCCACATGAGAGAACCGCATGTTCTCCAACATCGCACAGCAAGAAGATTTGATCTGCACCACTCACTGCCAACATACAACTCCGGAATGCAGCATGATCCTTTTCCCATGTGGAAATGCATGAAAGCCCCCCCTTCTGGATGTTCATCTAAATCTTGGGCAGCTTGAAGATAGGGGTTTCGGGATCAGGCTAAGGCGACCACTGAGCTGGCAGCCACGACCGAAATGCTGCTAATACATACCCAGCATCAACTTTCACGCTGCCAACTACAGTGGTGACTTAAAAAAATCGATGCCTACATGTTTAAATGTACATATATATATATATGTATATATATACACATATGTGTGTATAAGTTTACATTTCTATATGTTGCCTAAGCCAACCAAAAAAAAAAAGCAGGCTGGCCAAGGCCTCCCGGCTCGAATGAATCGAGCTCGGAGGCCTGGAGGGAGAAGTCCGTGGCTTTGTCGAAGGGGTTGCGGAACTCCACCACGCCCTGCTTCCCGTTCATGATGGTGATCGGCCCCTGGCAGGTCGCGTTTTCCGCGGTTTCGCCCTTTGGCCGGGTGCCGCGCCGGCCCTGAAAAGGGAGGTGCCCGTGAAGGGGAGGAGGTTCTTTGGGCCCTTCGTGGAGGCGCCACCCCTTCATGGACCTTTTTATGGAGGTGTTCATGAAGGGGGCTGTCCCTTGAAGAAGCGTAGGCTTTTTTAGCCGGTCATAACCATGCCACCCATTCATGGTGCCCAATTTACTGTAATGAAGGGGGCTCTAGAGGAAGGAAGAACTCGTCCAATTTCAATCTCATCCTACCCAATCTGTGGCGATCCCTCGAGAAACAAGAGTGTCACTGAAGAACGGACTGGATTCTTGTTGCGCCCCATAAAGAATAAGATCACTTAGACAAGAAAAGCGGACAATCCCTCTGCCTTCGATTTGGGTTAACCACCAAGAAACTGGGTTAGAACATCTCAACCAAGCCCCTTGCTGAGATTGACGGGCTTGACAAGCCCCATCCTTACCCGTGCTGTACTCCTGGTTGCGCTTGCTTTGTTCAAGTGGCTTGTTTGTAGATGGATACGGAACCCCTTCGGTTTCTCTTTGCTTCAAAACAAGACACATGGGAGAAAAAAAACCTTTCGTCACCAGGGAATTCCTCCACAAATGATGGCAGCTTCGGTTCCATCATTGGCAAAGAATTGGAATGTGTCAAGCGGTTCCCAAAAGGCGGCACAGGCGTCACCGTCCAAAACGGAACCGGCCATCTCTTTGACCGCCCAAGTGTCCTCAGTTTGCCAACGCTTCGGGACCTTAGCGTGCTTGCAGCAAACTTTGTTTGGTGCAGCCCCCACAAAAAATGAACAGATCCAAAAACCAACAAATAAACATAATAATTAAACAAAAAAACACGGAAGCACACAAAAAAAGACAAAATAAGAAAACCAAACCTGATCCAAGAACAGTAAAGAAATGCTGGAGAACGTCTCCCCTGCGTTTCCGCCTGCGGCTGCGGCGGCTGGGCGAAGCCCGTGAGCAGCGCTTTGTACCTCAAGCCCATGTGTTGGATTTCCAAAGCACGGCGGCGTGGTGTAGCTGCTTGGGGCGTTTTTTGTTGGAAGATACCCCTCTCGACTCAATCCGCAACTGGAAGGCAAAGTGGGGGAGGGGGGAAGGGGAGGGGAGAGGGGAGGAAGGGCTTAGCTTCCCCCCCTCTTGAAGTGGTTTCCTTTGAGGGAATCCCAAAACGATTCATCCCGTCATTCCCTACTGATCACCATTTTTTGAAGATACCCCTTTCGGAGTGGTTTGAAGGGGAAGGCACGAAGAAACCAAGCATTTTTGGAGTGGTTTAAAAGGGAAACCACGAAGAAACCAAGCAGTTCTTTTGGGTACCCCTAGTTTAACACACACACACACACCTACAGTTTAGTGAAAGTAGATGCACAATTTCCCTATTGTTGGTTTAGTCATTCTACACAAGGGGGAATTGCGCCATCCACTTTCACCCTGGCGTAGTGATTAGGCATACACCCATGGTCATAAGGGCACTAACATGGCACTAACCCCAGTTTCCCCCAATTATTATCATGGTTACAACCTAATTACTAAGTTGGTGGAACATCCAAGCAGAGTGCCCAAAGCCCATTGCCGAATTTCCCTCGTGGGCCTCCTTTTTTTTGACACACGGTCCTCCATGTCAGTGGATTGGAGGGTCACGCTTGTGGTTCCGAACAGGTTAGGAAAGGTTTACATGAGAGGGCTGTCTCTACATAAATGAGAGCCCTCCCCAATGCAAAAGGATGGTATGCTGTGAAGTCCTTCTTGAACCACCCCAAGAGGAATACCCTATAAAAGACACACTCATACATGCCTTACTGCAATCTCCATTGAACACAAAGAACCCCGCGCAATGGAACGCCTGAACACGCATTTCCTGGTTAAATAGAATGGGGCCAGCTGATCCTTGCAACACAACCGCTTCCACTTACGCATGAAAGACCAGCCGCTGGTCCTCTTGCACAAATACAGTTGCGGCGTTGGCCACGCGAAGACTGGTCTAGCATGGCTGGCTTCAGTCTGCGTCCGTTGCAAACAACAAACGCACAAACCACACCAAGAGTGATGCAGCCATGATCATGGGTTGCGTTCATGGGTTGCGTTCAGGCTCAAAGAACCCATTTCAACACAATTGACAAACTCATGCAGGACTGCGAATGCCCTCTCCAAGGATGGTCCCTCCCGTGAGGCCGCAAAGCAACTCAATGAAGCAACCAGCTTTTGACTTTCTCAGACCTCTAGTGGTCATGGGGAGAAAGGTCACATGCTTCAGGATACGGAAGATCTTAAAAGGCCCCAAAAAGAAACACCGAGGCACTGGAGCCTTCAACTTTTCACCAACAGGCCATCAGCGAGGAGCTGGACTTGGCTCAACAGTCACAGATGCATCTGAAGGCCACCCAGCCACCCAACCATTCCCGGACACCAACCAACGATGCACACACAACCCCCAACCTCCCCACCCTCCCAAGGCTCCCGGCTCCCCGCCCCCGGGGCCAGAAATCACCAGTAGCGCCCGGCACTCCCCCAGCATCTGGGCCAAAGGGCGAAAGATGGGTGGTTTTGGTTTAGGGGATCTCCAGATTGGTGGCTTTCTCCTCTGGGTCTTCCGTCAACAACCCACCAAAGAACTGGGCTGCCCTCAGATGCCCCGCTAAAAGACTTTTAGTGGGTTAAATGGAAACTACCACTAAACACTAAAGGCTAAAAAGCTAAGGGGATGGCTGGGAGCCACCAAGAGACGACACACCCATATGGCAAACAGGTTCCAGCGTTCCTGACCGGGGTGTATCAACAATAGGGAATTGGACCCACAACTCCGCGGTTTTCCGGTGGTTTCCAGGAAAGAATTATGCCACAAAGGGTACCCTGAAAACACACAAACACACAAGAACACTCCAGTTCGCCATAATGTTGGCCCCATATTAATCAACCAACAAGTTTATTAATAGGGGAATCATCACTTTTGGAGGGGAACCCCCCCTGTTCATAAACTGAGGTTGACTAATATGGGGTCAGCATTCACCAAATGGGTGTTTTTTTTGAGGGTACCCCTTTGTCGTAGGCTTTACAGGCAAATCAATATGGGGTCAAGATTACCTAGAAGGCTCCTCCAGCCAAATGATCAATCAAACCAGATAATCTACGACCTCCACCATGCGGGTGAGCTTTTCATGATTTGTGCAGGTCGACTGGTCGAGGGCTGTGGAGGGACCTTCAGTCAGGTCCCATGGAGTCATTTGGATCAGGCAAGGCCGGCGAAAAGCTACCTGGGGCCCCTCGCCGACCAACCCCAACTAATTGCTTGGGTTCCCCGGCTTGGATGTGGCAACTGCTTTGAGGATAAGTGCTCATGCGAAGGTCAGTCAGTTCACCGCCATAGAAAGAGCATTGTGCGATGTGGCTGCGGATTTGATCAGAAAAGCTCCCCAACAGCACGCGGTGCTCTTTTTAGTGCTCGCCGTGGAACCCTAATACCCTCGTGGAACCTTACCTCAGGCTGCTGGGGTAAAACAAGTTGGAAAAAGAATTGGTGCCACTGAACCGCTCAGACGAAATGCCGCCGAGGCGCAGAGGGCTGGAAGCGCACGCCCACCTCCGCCGGCGTGGGCTCTGCGCCCGCGCCGTTGGCCGCCACCTCCCGACCGAGGGCTTCGCGCCGAGGGACGCGCCGGTTGGCGGGCGCCAGCGCTGCGTGGGGGGGAGGTTTGACGCCCAAGAGTCGGTGGCCTGGAGCTCAATTTCCTGGGCTCCTGTTCTTGGACCACAGCATACGTTGAATTGAGAGGGGAAAGATTTTAGGGGGGGGCGCCCTCAAGAAAACAAACACCCACATGTGGTGGGTATTGATGAGGACGTTTGAAGATTTACATATATGTGCCGCGGACGTTTGGGTAGACTTTGAGTCCAGGTCTCGATTCTGAATCAATTGAGTAGCGCCCAAACACCATTCACTGTTGGTGCTACTTACATGGTTCTGAACGTTTAGAGTTTCCTTCCCCCCCAATTAGAACAGGCACTGGAACCGCCTACGAAGATGGCCAGTAAGGTCAAGATTAGCCTTTTTTTCCCGCAAAGACATGGGACAATTCATCCTTGAACCCTGGTTTCTTTGTCAGACATGGTGAGTTTTTCAATGTCCCTCCAAAAGAAGAAGGATCAAACCTCGCATATATAGCCAAGAAAGCATCACGTGAGGAGGTAAGTCGACCCCTTTTCGCCTCTCAAACGTCATCCTCTTTTAGGATTATTTTGTGGACGCTTCCTGTCATAAGCAGCAGCTCAACACACCAAAGCAATCCAAACCAAATAGTTAAGGGTCATGTGAACCCAGTTAACAAACACAAGCCATATCTGGTTCATTTCGATTGCAGGCTGCAAGCCATTTTAGGAGGATTCCGGATTACTGATCGGGAAACATCATCCTAATTAGTATTCCACGAGGTTGTTCATCCAGGCAGTCAACGTTAGCTTGGCTGTATTGGATGGGTGCGCTGGACTGACTGTAGAGCTCTATTTAAGTTTGCTTCAGCATCAGAAAACTCGAGTTCCTCAGCATAGACTCCGGACCTTTTTGTGAGCCCAAAAGAAAACCAACTGACTGGATCAGGGGAAGTTCATTGAAGAAACACCCAACTGGACCGCAGCACCTGGCCACTCTTCAGCCGCCCATCCTTTTCCTCTTGCGCTCTCGAGCGCCAGCTGCCCTCGCGGAGTCGCCGACGCCGGCCCACAGCCGGCTTCGGAAGCCTTGCGCTTGAGCCGCGCTTGCGCGAGCTCGAACTCCCGCTGCTTCTTGGGAGGCACCGGGCCGTCGATGCGGCCGTGGGTCAGGTAGCCCTGACCTGGGAAAATAATGGCCAGGGAACAAATATGAATAAATCCATAAAGTAGAAGAAGGCGAAACATCTCAATCAAAGCTTGGGATTGTCCCCTCAGCTCGCGCTACAAGTTGCGCAGTTCGACTAAGCGACAGATTCGAGCCCTCACCAGGTGCTCCAAAATTTGCACAAGGGCTTTTTCGGTCCAAAGTATGAAGTGTCCAACTGTCAGCAATGGCTTCCGTCTGCAAAAGAAGATGTGTTTGGCTTGCCACTTAGATGTTGCGGGTGTGGCTCTGCCTTCCCTCTGGCTTCGCTCATAACTCACTACCTCTGAAGGGGTCCCCAAAGGAACCAGACATCCAACCACCCACCCACCCCACTCACGCACCCACCCACCCACCAAGCAACCAAACAACAAACAAACGCACATGTGTCGCACGTTGGGACTGTTTGTTGGGAATTTTGCCACGGCCAAGTGGCGCTTCAGCTGCGACTGGTGACTCTCACAGTAGTCGATGCCTGGCGTGCTCCAGCCGCAAACAGACCATGGGGTCTGCATCGTAAACTACGTTGGAGCATAAAAATCGGCTGGTTGGCCCTTTGGTGGACATCATCTACACGGGTCCCGCGCCCATGCTTCAAGATTTTTTCCAGTTGAAACTCATAGCCACTTTACAAGGCACATGCTGGAAGCTGATTTCCTCCGGAGGTTGAGGCCAAATCAGCAACTGCTCGTTGCAGGGGTTTGATCCCTCACAAACAAATGGCAATCCTGGGGTATCTGGCTGGCCTGCTTGGCCGTATTCCCGCCCAACGGCGTCGCCGAATCCTTGCTAGTTAAACAAGTTCAAGTATCAAGCAGGGAAGGCAACTCTCATTGAAAACCTCTGGGCTGCTCAAGATGGGTTGGCCAGTCCCACTCCACAGTCCCAGGGAAGGATTGAAGATGGCTTTTGACTGGCCTCACTACTTTGCCGTTGTCAAAGTCACCCGCGTTCTGGGTGAAGGAAAACCACAAGTTTCAACTAGCCCGGTTCCTCCCAGCAGAAGCTTCCGTCTCTTCTTCGGGAACATGCCTCGAGTGCTGTGTCAAAAGCTCGACTAGCCCAAATCGGGGGCGTTCTGCGTGTGTGTTTTATAGCTGTTGACTGGCCCAGAACTGAAGGCTATAAGCACAAACCGTGGCACCAGGCTATCACACGACTTGAAGGTGCATGATTCTCCGATAGTGCTGCAAACTGCCGCACTGAGAATCACTGCAACGAACCGCAGTCAGCACCACCCTGTTCTTCTACCAGTATACATCACATCGCCTCATCTTGTCAAATGCCACTATGGAAATGGGCGTGTCTTGTTCAAGGCTATCCTTTTGCACAGGGAATCCAAAGGGAACCCACCGCCTATTTTCCGCAGTTTCAAGGTTCCCTAGAGGCAAACCCAAATAAAGCAAGAGAAAAACGCAGCCCCCATGGCGTCCCCTTCTAAAGCAACCCCCGAGTAAACAAAAATCCTGCTCGCTCGGCGACTTCCGTCGCGTGAAGCACGAGCTGCGCCTCGCCTGGCAGCGCAGGGCGCCCGCACTGGCCACCCCAGCCATCGCCCCAAACGCGGGCGGCGCAAAAGAACCGGGCCGCGCAGCGCTGCGCCTGACACGCAGCGGGAATCAGCGGCTTGTTCAGGGCTGTGAGAAATGGAATCCACTTCTGTAATGCAGCAAAAAGGGCCTTGCAAAGACCAACCCCCATATATACAGGTTGAGATTCCCAAAAGTATCACACAAGGGATAAACCCTTGATCCCACAACCCTGTGCTTGTGGAATATCTCCCCCCTACCCTACAAAAAGGCGGGTGGCGGGTCACAATTCCATTTGTCTAGTATTCCCCGCAAAAGGGATGGAACCAAAAATGAAATTCCAGGGGTCACCCCCTTCCCCCAATTCCATTGCTGAGAGGGTGGGGATTGGAAAATAGACTCCTTCCCTCTAACATAGCGCCTGACAAGGGCCCATCGAAAGGAAATAGATCTTCCAGGTACCATCCGGCAGGGGGCATGTTAGTGGAAGCAAGGGCAACCCTTATTGTGATACCAAAGTGAGAATCCCATTTGAATGAGTACTTTATAGCTGTGAAGGATTGTGTTCTTGGTATCACTGAAAATCCAACCTAGACCCAAGTGTCCACAACCTCCATTTGCTGAATTGTCCAGGAACACACAATATTTGCAGTAGTGATAAGTTCCTTTCAAAACCAGGAGTGGACATAAAACATTGTATTAACGCTAGGCTCATTCGACCTCTTTTTCTGGCTCAAAGTCAAGACTCAACCGCAAAACCATGGTAAACAATGGCAAAATCAGAGGGTTCCTTGTTCGCTTACCTTGCAAACCCAAAGTACTGCAAGAAAGGGAACAAGTTGGAACAAGGAACCCTCTGATTTAGCACTTATGCCTTCAGATGATGGCTTTTTGTTCTATTAGGAGAAGAACAGCTGAGTCATAATCAAAGCCCGGTACTAAAATGGTCGACCCAAAACCATGTAAAGAATTAAGAAGGCGGCCGCAGTTATTTATGGTTGGGATTGTCCCATACTGACCTTCATCTACCCGGGTTTTGATTGTGGCTCAACTGGGCATCATGTTTTTGGTCGATGGTGGTCAGCGGGTCCCCCCGCAAATCAGAAGGGAAGAAAGGAAGCAACCCGCCGTGTGCAGCCTCGAGGAACTCCTCCGCCGTTTCGGTGAGCCGCCAGGCGTCGAAGACGTCCACAGCCTTCGCGGCCTTCTCCGACACATCCCCCGCCTGCTGCGCGATCCAGGCCTCGGATTCAAGGGAAGCGAACGCGGCCCTAGGTCCAAGGGGACCCGCGGCGTTGGCGAGTCCAAGGGGCCCCTCCTATAGATAGCCCACTTCTCGCAAAGATCGAGGAGCAAATACAAAACAATTGTGGTGACAGCGCGCTGCATCAACGATAAGAAGTCAAACACGATGATATGATATGCAAAGGCATTGACACACAGGCAGAGACAAGCACAAACACACAAACAAACAAACAAACAAAACAAACAAACAAACAAACAAACAAACATTCAATCAAACAAACAAGCAATCAAACAAACAAAAAACACACAAACAAAACAAACAACCAACGAAGCAAACAAGCGAACAAACAAACAAAACAAAACACTAACACACAATCAATCAATCAATCAATCAATCAATCAATCAATCAAACAAACAAACAAACAAACAAACAAAAAACAAACCAAACAAACAAACAAACAAACAAACAAACAAACAAACACACAAAACCAACCAACCAACCAACCAACCAACCAACCAACCAACCAACCAACCAACCAACCAACCAACCAACCAACCAACCAACCAACCAACCAACCAACCAACCAACCAACCAACCAACCAACCAACCAACCAACCAACCAACCAACCAACCAACCAACCAACCAACCAACCAACCAACCAACCAACCAACCAACCAACCAACCAACCAACCAACCAACCAACCAACCAACCAACCAACCAACCAACCAACCAACCAACCAACCAACCAACCAACACACGCGCGCACACACACGCACACACACACGACACCCCATACACACATGAGTGGTGACCAACATAAAAAGGATACATCATCACAATGACATGTACACAAACTGTACGCATCAACAGGATTGCATCTTAAACATCTGCTGACAACTTACTGCCGGAGTGCTGGAACATCCTCAACGCAAAGGCCATCAATCACTGCTTTTCGGCCTAACGGCTGCAAGCAACAATGTACCTGGCTGCAAAGCCATTATGCCTTTAATCGCAAGCAGCTTCATGTCAACCCCCAGAAAGCAAGACATCCCACAAGCGAGTTTATCACATACTCATCTGGTTGGAACGAACACCAGGATCGCCCATTGGCTTCTTGGGACACAGTGTTCATACTGTGAAACGTTGCTCTCGAGCGCCGACGAGCTCTCGGTGCGCCCAAGGCTCTTGGTCCTGCAGTTCCATCGGTTCAAGGTTGAGGTTGGCACGCCCCTAATCACCTACCCAACGAATGCGTGAAGCAACATGCCTGCACGTGGCGGAATATGAGATTGCACCGGGTGCCATGTCATGCTCAGATTTCCAAGCACACCACTGATATGCAACTATGCTGCGCGCAGTGGCCGACACAAAGTCCAAACTTTGGCAAAAACTCAGGGGGAATAGGGCTTACCCACCAAAGCCGACCCACCTGCTCAAAGGGGGGTATGAGTACCCAGTGGTGGGCTAGCACTAGTGCACTAGTGGGTCGAGCCGACTCCCAGAGACATATGCAAGTGTTGGGTTTAAAGCGCAATACTTCTCCAACCCTTCGCAACCCGCAAGCGGTCTTCTCAAAAGTAACTACTCCAAGAACTCTCAACGAGTGGAAGTTTCAGCCTTGAGGTTTTAGTGCCTCTCCATTAAAGAAGTGCCGTTTTACTATGGAACCTCCAGCAACACCAACCTTCCATTTGCTTGGGCCCCCTGGAAAAATATGTCCAGTAGTGATAGATTCCCTTTTTCCTTTAAAAGCAACAGGGGGAAAACAATAAAAATGCTCTTAAGCAAATGGAACCTCCAGACCAAAGGACTTGAGACGTCCTCCATCTTGCTGGCCCGCTTCTTGGTGACGTTGGCCGGTCGCTTCTTCGGTGCCACCTTCGGCTTGTCCTCAGGTTGGAGGAGTTTTTGACACCGTGGGAGACCACCCGTTCGGTGAATTCCTGCTTCGGCCATTGCAGACGACCCTCTTGTGAGGACCGCCCCAGACATGGGCCAGCCTATGATATGATTAAGTTTTACGCATTCAAAACCAGCTTTACGCAAAACCGCGGTGTGAAAACGCCCCGTGTGACTGGTTTACTCACTTCTTGAACAGATTGGCCCAAAGAGCGCATGTGAGACGAACATGGTCTTCCCGACAAGGATCGGGGGAACTGGGGAATTGTGTGGGAACATGGTGGTCCCAAACCAAAACGGAATCAAGTATGTCAGAGGAAAGGCCACGAAAAGGGCTTGGTCTCCCATCCACCCAAACTCCGGAATCACAGACTACAGGTACTACTACAGCTCTCCGAACTCTATCACAACCCGCGTCAAAGGCTTTGTAACAACTGGTGCTTTGCAAACGCCGCGGGAATGATGGCCAATACTCGATCGTGGACGTTGATCGACAATCTGTACCAAGACAATCTAGTCAAGATACCACGCGTCCACCAATGTGGAACCCCCAAAGGATCGCGTTCAAAGGAAATGGTCTTCCAAGACCCCTCAGACAGGATATATGGAGGGGAGGGTGCTTGACACATGCCTCTGGACAGCAGGGCAGGGACTGCAGGGATTTCGACAGCCGAAATCTGGGGCATTCAGAATTTCATATGTTCGGATTCTTCATAACTAGTCTGAAAGTCTACCCCAAAATGTAAAGCAGTCTTGAAGGAGACCCCAGAAATGAGCCACAATCAAAACCCAGTGCTAAAATCGTGAACCCAGAACCATGTAACGGATTCAGAAGGCGGCCGCAGTATTTATGGCTGGGATTGGCCCTTACTAACCTTCATCTATCCGGAAAATTTGATTGTGGCTCAAATGGTGAACCTCTTTTGGTTGGGGTTTCAGGGGACCTGAAAAACGGAAACCCGCCCAGCGCCCGCCTCCTCGCTGTCGCTGGCTGCCACATCTGCGCTCGCCAGGTCTCGCTCCAGCTGCTCCAAAGTGACGCCCATGATTCCGGCGGAATCCCCGGCGCTGGATGAGGAGAATGCGTCCCGTTGCTCGGAGGAAAAACATCTCAGCTAGGTGCTCCTGTAGTCTATGTCTATTTTAGTAGGAGAAGCCTCCCCCCAAAAAAGGGTAAAAGGCCACCTAGCTGGGGCCCTAGAACATTTCAGGATTACTGACTGTTGGACACCATTTTGGCCAAACTCTGGACACCTTGCGCGAACCTGTTTCACATTGGCCAAGAGTCCAAACTTGTTGTGAAACCCACCAAAATGGTTCAAGATTGGGCAGGTGGGACTTGAAAAGCCATGGAAAAACCTAATTTGTAGCTAAGCCCTTGAAAATGGGTGTTTCTTTATGGCGCATGAGGGACACTGTTTGCTTGGTCTAGACAGGAAATGCAAAGGAGACCAACAACATGGCAAACAGGTTGTCCAAAGCCGCTAAATGTGGGTGACTCTACCAAATAGTTTACCAGATATCCCTTTTCAAATAGGCTAGCTCTGGGACTCCGTTGCTGACCTAGCCTAAAATCATGCAAACACCTGGCAACCGACAGTCTACAAAACACTACACAGGTAGGTCTTCTGACCATCCTTGACCCTATCTTTGGATGGCCATGGCCCAAGCATGGCAGTCTCAGACTGCTCCCCCCGCAGCTTTGGGCCGAAAGGCACATCAACAGCTCATGTCGCCAGACCCCCTTTTTGTGGCAAAGTGGGATTTCCATGCCTTTACGACTGTGTCTGGTATCACAGGCCCATTTCCCCAGAAGGATTCACTTGAAAGGAGGTTCTCTTGGTATCACACAAGTGGCAACCTAAAACCAACCATTCCACACTTGCATTGTAGCTCAACATATGCTCAACATCTGAGAACGAGAGCTGTGAGAAGGCAAAAGCCACGCATGTTCCTAGCGGTTTCGCTGGGAAAGCTCCCCCCAACGTGTGACCAAGAGGAAACTTACCTTCAGTTGCTCCAAACAGCAAAGTCTAAACTGGCCTATGGAAAAATATGGGCATGTGACATTGTCAAAATAGGGTGAGCCCCAAAATGGATCTGCCGTTTTTTTGGGTTTGCTTTACACCAACAAAAAGAGTACCGGCTCAAAACAAACACACACACACAAAGAGCAGAGCACCTTTTGGTGGACATCATTTAGGTTGGGACTTATATCCACCAACCACCTTTTAGGAAGATTCCCAAACAACAACACAGCCGTTCTGTGAGGAAACCCTGAAATTGAGCGAGGTGGAACTCCACTATAGTTCAACTGTCCCTTTTGTGAACCAAAAAAGCAGAACAATGGAACTTCCATGTTCCCTTTTGTGAACAAACGGCACAAGACAACACCAGAAAGCTACAATTGGGCTTCCCTTAAGATCCCCTGAAGGCAGGCAGGTGAGAGGAGCACTGCAGCTTCTGGACGTCTTCGCGCTTCTTCGTCCCCAAGAAACACGAGACCATATGTCCAGTGATAGATTCCCTGTATGTTTTGTTTTCCAACAAACAAAAGAACAAACGACGCGTAAACAGGGCATCTTCGCAAACCAAATGGGTGGCAGTCTTTCGTTGAGGGTACCTTTTTTTTGTGGGTGTTACAGGGACACCAAAAGGAAACCCTTTAAAACCAACAGGGGAACATGTACATATAATTACTTCTATTAAGCCCAGTGACAAAATGAGTGAATGTTTCCAGTAGTGAAATCGATTCCCTTTAAAACCAGCAGGGGAACATGTAAAAAAAAAAAACATAAATGCGTGGCTTGTCTTTCTTTGAACCTTTGTGGGCTTTACGGGGAACCACGGGCGACAGGAAGGCGCGAGCTCCGCGCCTCGCTGGACTCCAGGAAGAAGTCGGCGCTGCCGCCCTTCTGACCCGGCGCCGCCTGGCCCGCGGCGCGCGGCTCGGTGGACGGGACGAGTGACGGGCTTCGAGCACCGAAGCCGGTGAAAATGTCGGGGGAGAAGCAAGTGGCAGAAACCTTGGGGGGGCCATCAAATCCCAAATGCAGAATCCTGGCCGAAATGGAATTCAGGACCCCAAATTCTGCCAGGTCTTGGAGCAAATCATGAGAAAACAGAGACCACCTACCCAGAGCCCATTCGGGCAGAAACCCCAAAGCTTCCAATATCTTGGGCCCCAAAAAAAAATCGACCGAGCCCGAACGCGCGATCGATCCGCCAGCGCCTCCACACGGGCTTTGTACTTGACCAGGTCCTTGGCGTAGTGGAGGAACTTGAAGCTCTCCACCACCGAGCCCCCAAGCCTCACGGAGGGGAACGGGTGAACCTACCCTCGGTTCCTTTCTGCTCCCCTGCTAAAAGTTTAACTTTTAGTGGTTTCATGGAAAACCCATCAGTTGGCAAAAAGTTTAAAGTCCTAACATCCAAGCAAAATGCACCAAAGTGGTTACCGGCCAGCCCATGGACTGCACACCAAAAAAGGGGTGCGTGGTGGCCCACAAGGGGTGCGCCGAAAAAATAAAGGGTTCAACTTCTGCTGCATATGGTTTACCCTAAACCTAGCAAGCAAAACACCACAGGGGAATTTACCCTAACCCCCAGCAAGCAAAACACCACAGGGAAATGTTCAGGTAATTCTGATGGGAGGAGTGTTGAAAGTTCTGGTGGATAATGGCCCCTTCACAGTGGATAGATACTGGAAACCGCTCGAACTGGCTCATTTGCTTATTGGCGTTTGGCAAAGCCCATCAGCCAGGAACACAGCAATCCCACCAGAAAAGAGTCGCTTGTCACCTCGTGTGTGGGGCTTAACCCCTACTTGACGTGCCTTGGTCGCGGTTGGCTTCGGGTTCCGATCGCCGAGCCCCCCCCCCCTTCTGATGCCTGGCAGGCCTTAGGTCCTGGTGCTGTTTGAAGCCATGAAGACACCCCCACATACTGCGCATGGACGAAATCCATTTCGCACCAAATTGAAACCGTGGTTGAAACCAGTATTTGTTGGTTGTCTACAAGGGAATCATCAGAGGGCTTCTTAGGTTCAATCGTTGTACTGGGCAGTGGTTATCTCGGTTGCCCACAGGAGCCCGACAAAAAAGGCTCACCTTTTGGCCTTTTGGGGCCATGGACAAGGATGGAAAAACCAAAAGGTAGAATGGTCAGCTTTGGGCAACTGAGGCTATGTAAAGGCACATTGATCATGAACTCCCCGGAAGCACTGGCAGAGGGTGTCAAGGCCATTCCTCGCAGCTCCCTTGGATGGCACATCCACATTTGACGGCCTCTCGGGTGCTGCTCGGTATGAGGACCCAATCGAACATTCTTTGCTCTCTTACCAAGGCTTGGCTGACGCTGGAAGGGGAGCAAAAATCTATAAATTTTAGCAGGTAAGTGGTTGGCTTTCAACCACTAAACCACAACAAGCAAAAAAGTGTCACATGTTTCCCAACAACGACCATGAAGCTGCAGTTCATCCCTCTGCACCTAACGAGCCTAACCATCTGTCACGTGCCCGATGAGATGTGGGTGGTAGCCAAGTGGTCATAAATCAGGAAGGGGCTCATTAGACAGGAACCGTTCAAAACCTGTCTCCACAAAACGGAGACAACGCCCGTGGTGAGAACGCGATTCGAGTTTCCTTGATGTATCCCGTGAGTTGCCAATGTGTACCAGGCGGAGTGACAACTGGACGTGGGCCTGTCTCCAAGTGCCGGGGGCGTTCAAAACGCAACTATATATATAATATACATATAGAGGGAGAAAACAAACCAAGTTGCTAAACACCAACAGACTAGCCAACAAAAGGAAGTATGGTGTCCAGAACTAATTTTTGGAAACACTCGCATTGGTACGGCGTTGGTCACAAAATGGGGTCCGAATCTGTCAACGTTCTCAATGTGGTCAACCATATTCCACAGTGGTGGGTGTTCCTTGTGTGGTTTCCTTCCATTTGCTTAGGTCCCATGCACAAATGAATATGTGTCCAGCTGTGAAATCAATTCCCTTTGACATTTGAAGCCAGACAAACAAAAACAAAAACGTCTTAAGCAAATGGACGTTTCCCGGCTGGCGAGGCAAACGCCCTCGCAAAACTACAGACACCGCTAGGCGTCCCGGAGGCTAGGCGTCCCGGGCGGTGCTTTGAGCACCAGCGCCCGCTCCAAGCCCTAAGCGCGCAACTCGTCCGTTTCAACTACTGCAGGGGTTTGGTTCCTGGGTGTCCTCTTGGTCTCTGTTTGGAACGAGCCAAACAGGATTCTCCCACAAAAAACACCCATGCTGTGGATGGAGGACATCCTTCACCACGAAATTCCACGAAATGACTGGTTGAAACGCATAACGTTTGTTGGCTTGTTGGCATTTACGTTGGGGAATCGAATCAAACACCAGGGCTTCAGAAAGGTGGTGCGAAATGGAATTCGTCCACAGTAGGAAACTCAGCTTGCCTCTGATTGGTGTCGTCTGAGCCGGTGGGTTGCATCACTTCAATGCTTTGCAACACGCTGAAAGGTCAATTTGACACAAATATTGCACATCGGCTGATTTATTTGGATTGGCGGTTTGAAGGTTGGGTGGGTCCGTTTCAAGAAGGGGTTCAAATCCTCAAACTCAAACCACCGCACAAAGAGTAGCTGATAAAGCCTTCCAAACACCGACTAGAATACACTGCTTCAACAAGCATACCTCGCCTAAATCACTATTCTGGGCGAGCTACTTATATTTGACAAGCCGGAAACGAGAAACCCCAAATGACCTTCATCGCAGAAATCAGAAATGCATTGAACAACAAACAAGCAGCAACTCAAAGTTGCAATCAGCGCCCATTCCTGGCCACCGATGTTCACGCAGGAAATGGGTGCGAGCCGCCTGTGCCCGTCATAACGACAATAATAATCATTATCAACATAATATGTCCTCCCAGCGGAAGGCGGATACGGGTGTGTCTTTCTTTGGGGCCCCTGTTTGGGTTGAACATGAAACCAAATGAAGGCCGGTTCAGAGGTCTGGGTGTTTTGTGAACCATGTCGAGCCTTACCGCTGAGAACTGGAAGCCCTCCAAAAATGATGGTCTTCCTTTTGGTTCCTCTTGAAAACCACCAAAAAGAGTTACCCTCAAAAAGAGACACGCCCAGTTACCCTGTTTTGAGACAAATCCCGCTGTTCAACTCAAAGGTAACATTTTGGTCCACTAGGGTTCTGGGGGAACCGGAAAAAAACCGGGCCCCGGGCCGCCGGGGTTGCTCGCCAGCTCACGGTGTAGGGATAGGTCCCCAGCTCTTGGCTCTTGAGCATCACCTGTCGAGTTTCTTGCCAAGTCGAAAGCAGATCCGTCCCAAATTTCAGCGAAAGAATGAGGCTAAGACACCAGACTTTCAATGTTGTACTTGTTGCCCTACGTGTTCGGATATGTCTTTCCAGGTTTTTGCTCGGAGAATACCCCAAACCTTGAATGGAAGGGCGGAAGACACTCTCTTTGGGGAACCAAGCAAAAGCGATTGAAACAAAAGTGACGAAGACATGTTTCAACAAGGGCTGTCCCTTGGTCCCAACTACCTCCGCATGTCTTTCCGCGATGCAAAAACAGGCATCGTGAATCTGTGGTTTTGAGTCGCTTAATGAGGGCACTTGTTGTGAAGGGGGTGCCCTTCAAGTATGGTGGTCCCGGACTCGGGGTACTAGTAATATCAAATAGCCAGGGGGTCCAGGAAAAACCAACAACTAACTAAAGCAAGATTTGAGGGCATCTATCATGGGGCCCTTTGGATTTGAAAAGCTAAAGCCGCTGTACTCATCCGACTCATAGCCACCAGGACCTCGCTTCTTTGGAGACCGAAGGCTCGGCCAAAATAGTGAGCAATCCCCAGTTCCAACAGCGTTGACTTGGGAGTGATTTGGGGGTTGACTTGGGTGTGGGTCAAAATTCAACCACCAGGGGACCGCAGGTTTTAGTCCATGTTTCCATAAGCTTCCATTTTGGAGTTACCCTATTTCTGACAAACAGCCACTTGGGTTCTTGGGCTACTTTGCTGGTTTCCTTTGATTCAAGGGGATTCGTCAATTACAGATTCCTCAAATCCGTAAATACAAGGTACTTAAAACCCCTGCATGGTTCCCAATCTAACTGCGCCTCGGCCTCTCCTTCTCCTTCCTCCAGCGGCCTGTGCTGAGTGCGGCAATGCATTTCGCAGCCTATGGATGTTCCCCAAGGCTTGGTTGCATCTTTCGCGTTGGAAAGAAAGCGCCAAGGAAAAACATCCATTTCCACAAACTGCTACGTTCCCTGCCCAGAACATCACTCTGCTCTGCACTTTATCTTAGCAGCAAATTGGGTGCAGGTCAGGAAAGCATCCGTAAACATCCTCATTTCCCCACCTTAAGGACCGAAGATTGAGCAGCAACGCCATGCCCAGCGATAGCAATCGGACGTTGAACGCCTCAAACTCGTGCGCGACCCGAGCCGTGGCGGGCTGGAGTCTCCGTGAGATCCGCGCACCACCAAGTGCCTCTCTGGAC